CTGCGCCTGCGCTCTTCACACGCCTCCTGCAGGGCATGTTTGGTAAAGTTCCTGCATGCAGGCTGCCGCCAAGCAGAGGGAGTAGCACAGCTAAGGAAAAGGGTAAAAAAAAATGGCGGACGGCGTTGTTTGGCGACCCCTGTGAAATGGTCGTGCGACCCCAAATGGGGTCGCGACCCACAGGTTGAGAACCGCTGTATTAGAACATTACATAGCAGCTAACTTTAGAACTCAGTTTGATGTTCAGGCATCACATTATTAAGCCAGGGCATGTAGAAATGTTTTTCACATGCATACAAACAAAGCAAGAAGTCTCTAAATAACCAGTTTCAAAACTAATATCAGCACAAGCCACATTATTTCACAAATAATCCTGATGGAAAAAGCAACACTCTGAGCCTTTTAAAGAGATATGGCCATCTTGATAATCTGAGCAAGTTGGGAGGAGTGCTTTATGAAGTGCTCCTTCAAATGGTTTGCATTGCCCAAACACTAGCACATTAACCATAGTGATCATTACCACAATTTAATCAGGAACTTTGTGATATATATTGTGAAAACATTGAATGGCTATTTACACAGAAAAATATCTTGCTAGTCCCAGCTTTTGGGGGCGAAATTGAGATAAAATAATTTCATATCAATCAGCCAAGATTAACATCTGCATTTCTAGATTGAATTGCTAATGTTATTTTCAAGAGCCCATTTGTATGTTTGCCTTCTCAGTGGACAGTAGTCCCTGTATTTAAATGTATAGTTGTTTATATATGTTTAACTATGTTGTTACCTTAACTTTTCCTTCTTCTAGCTGAGCTTGGCGAAACCTTGCCAAAGCAGTCCTAAAAGGAAGAAAGCTTAGTTCAACATCTGTTGTTTAAAAATGATTTACGAACATCAATTTAGATGATTGGTACTGGGTAAATAAAGAGATCAACATATTTCTGTAAAGCAGTTTGCATTGATTATCTGAAAAGTTGTACAGACTTTAGTTACTAAACATAGAAAAATGACTTAAGATTATAGTCGGAACCTTTTAAAGTAGAACCTCATTGTTTTAAGTTTTTTAAAAAATGTCCTTGTTCCTTAAAAAATATTTTAAATATAAAATTCTAAATAACAGACAAGTATCAAATCCTCCCATTATATGAGGAAAGAAAAACAAAATTCACAATGTGACTAAGCCTTATAAATATAAAAAAATGAAAGAATGCCAGGATCTTACTGGGCTAATCCTTTCACATGTTCTGTGCTAGATTATCCAACACATTTAAGTTTTCAATACACCTTTTAAACTGTATTTTGTATTCTGTAAGTTTATTTTTCTCTTTGGAAATGGAGATTAAAAGCAACTCCCCACAAAGACATGTTGGTCTACATTGGCCTACAAACCAGTCATATTTTCTTAATCAAAGGACATTGAAACTACAGTACATGTGAATGATATCCTGTTTTTTCCACTAGTATTTGGAGGGAAGTGTGATTTTATTTAAGATATATAGTGGTTATTTCCCTCAATCATTAAAATGCTTTTATGTGTAGAATAAATATAGCAATTAATTCAACTGTTAAAAAACAGGCTGACAATTTCTCAGAATTAAAAAAAAACAAAATTCAAATTTACTTACATGGCCTTTTCTGCATTTCGAGCCTTAAAGAAGGGAGATAATTGTTATTTGTTTTAAATGAATACTAATAAAATGAAGTTTGGAAAAATTTTACAAGAAGAAATAAAAAATCCTGTTAGATCAATACAGTATGAACATCCAATGCTTCCAGTGATAAGAGTTGCAATTATAATTTCACATATGTGGCTCTTCAGAAATAGATTTGATCATTACTAATTATTGAGTTGTGAATTGATGTTCCAGCCATTCATAGTGTCACATCTGATGTGAAACTAAGGAGTTTGGTCTAGTGGCTAAGGCACCAGCTAGAAAACAATGGCCATGAGTTCAAGTCCAGACTTAGCCATGAAAGCCAGCTGGATGACCATAGGCCAGCCACTCTCTCAGTTCAATTCAACTTTACTTTACTTTTTTTACTTTTATTTCATTTATACCCCGCCCTTCTCCCGGAGGACTCAGGGCGGCTTACAGCCAGTTTAAAACAATCCCACAGAAATACCAAATACAAATCTAAAATAATTAAAAATAAATATTCGAATTAGCCGCTCTATTAAAATTTTGTTAAAACCAATTAAAATACCCCCTAGGCCAGTCCTGCCTGCTGAAACAGCCAGGTCTTGAGGGCGCGGCGGAAGGAGGGGAGATCCGGAATCACCCGGATCTCAGGGGGCAGCTCGTTCCAGAGGGTGGGCGCTCCGACAGAGAAGGCTCTCCCCCTGGGGGTCGCCAACCGACACTGT